TCTGTCTCTCTGTCTCTCTGTCTCTCTGTCTCTCTGTCTCTCTGTCTCTCTGTCTCTCTGTCTCTCTGTCTCTCTGTCTCTCTGTCTCTCTGTCTCTCTGTCTCTCTGTCTCTCTGTCTCTCTGTCTCTCTGTCTCTCTGTCTCTCTGTCTCTCTGTCTCTCTGTCTCTCTGTCTCTCTGTCTCTCTGTCTCTCTGTCTCTCTGTCTCTCTGTCTCTCTGTCTCTCTGTCTCTCTGTCTCTCTGTCTCTCTGTCTCTCTGTCTCTCTGTCTCTCTGTCTCTCTCTCTCTCTGTCTCTCTCTCTCTCTCTCTCTCTCTCTCTCTCTCTCTCTCTCTCTCTCTCTCTCTCTCTCTCTCTCTCTCTCTCTCTCTCTCTCTCTCTCTCTCTCTCTCTCTCTCTCTCTCTCTCTCTCTCTCTCTCTCTCTCTCTCTCTCTCTCTCTCTCTCTGATAGGTGCAGCTCCACCGTAGCTTCTTCCGGAACCGGTAGAATACGGTTGGGTGCGGTGTGACGTAGCGTTGTCAGCGTGGCCACGGACCTTTTTGGTATGTTCTGGCGTTACCCTTTTTCCATTGAAAAAGCGTACAAAATTGAAGTTTACTTGAACCCAAATAAAACTGGCGCAATGTGTACCGCCACCTTCAGCCTCAAAACGTTCCTTGTTTCAAGCTCTATCAATATCAGTCGGCTAATCGTGCATTTCTTAAAAACTGAGGTGGTACCTGGGGGGTAGAAGCACCCAAAGTCGGGTCTCTTTAACATTGGGTTGGTGGTGAAATTCTATATGATTTGGGACTTTGCTGGCTTCCTCGTCTTACATTATATCAGTGGGTAAGCCACCTTCAAGCTATACTGATAGAGCTATCAATTCTAAAACTACTTGTGCTTGTTTCGGCATCATTCGACAAATACCCGACTGGTACCTTGGGGGTAAAAAAACTTCCGACTGGAAAATATAGAGGAAGGTGATGGGTTCAAATCTCATCGCCGATGGAGTTTTTTGCGTGTTCGGGTATTAATATGAACGAACGCGTTTACCATCGATATCTTAAGAGCCAATGATCCCTACCAAGTCCCGCGAGGTTACATCCAATAGGACTTTCCAAGACCTTTCCAAGGCGTAGGTAGGGGAGAGTGGGGAAAGCGGCCACCCGGGGCAAAGCGGCCACCCATCGTTTTAGCCCTCCACAGCTGGCGTCAGTTCCAATTTATGGTTTCCAATTATACTTCTCTTCGCGATCGAATGAGCCAGACCGGGGTTTCAGGCCCATCGCCATTGTTCTGTGAAACACGGAAAAGCATTTCTTGCCAGGTTGCCAACTATGTTTACGATTTATAAATGTTATGTTATTCCATAACCGTTTGGAATTTTTATAAGCATTCTTGTCCATGCATTTCGTGGTTATCGTACATGTCTTCTACCAATTTTAATGTTCTTTAACCCCAGTAATAGCAAAGCTGGAATATTTTTGTCTCGGACGGTATGCGCGGGGCAAAGTGGCCGGGGCAAAGTGGCCACCCCCAACTAGCCATAAATTGTTTCCATCTGGATAAAAATCATGATTTATATTCAAATGTGTTGTCATGCATTGATCTTGGCCACTTTTCGGTTGCATGCGCCGTCGCTCGGCGTCCTAACGGAAAAGACCGCTTGGCCAGCGTTGCCTCGAGTCCAACATAAGTTGTATGTCGGACTTACTTACGTGCAGTTGTGGTAGCCGTTGTGGTTCCAGTGCCTGCGCCCACGCTGTAAGTTGCTAAAATACATTCATGGTAGAAATCAACGCTGTTACAATATATCGCCCACGTTCTAAATTCCATATATCTGCGCCTGTCGTGTGTGCGCGACATCTGGTGGCACTATGCGACCCGTAGTTCTCCCCGGCGCACCTAGGTGGCACTACCTGTCCCGTGATGAGGCACGACTTGGCGCTGGCGGAGGTGGGAGATGGCGCAACTTCCCGCTAATATAATTTGCACGGTTCCATCGTGAAATGACCATTAGCGTTAAGGTTGCTAAGTGAGTCCGGGCTAAGCTATTACGTTCGGTGTATTGGCATTGGCTGGCCTCGACCCCTGACCCCTTCCTGGGCTCTTCTGAAAGACGCCAAAAAAACGCCAAAACTAGACGTCATGCCGCTGTTCAGGGCTCTAGAAGGAGCTGCTGGGACAGGGCCAGCGGGGACATGTCATTAGTAGCGACGTAATGACATGGTAGTTGACGGTGAGGTGTATGCGGGGCAAGCCAACGGACATGCCATTAGTAGCGACGTAATGGCGTGGTAGTTGACAGTGAGTGGTATGCTGGGGCAAGCCAGCGGACATGTCATTAGTAGCGACGTAATGACATGGTAGTGGACATGAGTTATGTGCTGGGGGCAGGGGCCAGCTGACATGGCATGGTAGGGACATAGTGACATGGTAGTTGACAGTGAGTTGTATGCTGGGGCAAGCCAGCGGACGTGTCATTAGTAGCGACGTAATGACATGGTAGTTGCCAGTGAGTTGTATGCTGGGGCAAGCCAGCGGACGTGTCATTAGTAGCGACGTAATGACATGGTAGTTGACAGTGAGTTGGATGTTGTGGCAAGCCAGACGACATGTCATTAGTAGCGACGTAATGACATGGTAGTTGACAGTGAGTTGTATGCTGGGGCAAGCCAGCGGACGTGTCATTAGTAGCGACGTAATGACATGGTAGTTGACAGTGAGTTGGATGCTGTGGCAAGTCAGCAGACATGTCATTAGAAGCGACGTAATGACATGGTAGTCGACAGCGAGTGGTGTGCTGGGGCAGGCCAGCGGACATACTTGACCGTCCTCCGCACCGGGGGGCGGCCGGGTGACTCATCCGGCGTGACGCCAGCTGCCCTTGGCCAAGGCCGTGACGGGCCTGTGGCCGGCGGTCGGACTGCCGTTGATCGGGGGTGTCGCCTTGCACCGGTCTGCAGCGGGCCGACTGGGGGTCAGGTCACTGCTGGCAATGTGCCACTCTGTGGATGAACGAAAGCCTGCGGCTATGCTGCATTGATGATCTAGTGGTGACATAGCATGACAGCCCAGGTACCTAAATAGGCAGGCCAGTCAGGTATGGCCATGGGTGGACAATAAGGGGGTTGAGGGTGCACGAGCACCCCCTCATGTCGCAAAGCACCCTCACAAACATGCCAGTGGGCAGGGCATTGTTCAGGGCCAAGCTACAATGCTGGTGTATGTGACCGCCCAGAGGGCCATCTGAGTATCTGAGACAGGCGGCCACATTAGCATGGGGCGAAGGGTAGGAACAGAACAAAAGTGCCAACTGCCAGTATTCAAGCAACTGGGCAGAATAAGTTGCTGACGAAAACTAGACCGCCGGTTAGAGGGGCGCCATGATTGCCTCGTGCGAAGGGCCCGCGCGTAACTAACAGGCCGGATAGCTGGTAACTCACCGGTGTTCCTTCTGGGTCGTCCCATGGTGGCGGTAGCCGCCGCTAAAAGCTATCACTCAACTCTCCGCGGGTTTCAACCGGTAAAATAAAAAAAAACAATGGCTGCGCGCACTCCGTCGCTCGGCGTCCTAACGGAAAAGGCCGCTTGGCCAGCGTTGCCTCGAGTCCAACATAAGTTGTATGTCGGACTTACTTACGTGCAGTTGTGGTAGCCGTTGTGGTTCCAGTGCCTGCGCCCACGCTGTAAGTTGCTAAAATACATTCATGGTAGAAATCAACGCTGTTACAATATATCGCCCACGTTCTAAATTCCATATATCTGCGCCTGTCGTGTGTGCGCGACATCTGGTGGCACTATGCGACCCGTAGTTCTCCCCGGCGCACCTAGGTGGCACTACCTGTCCCTTGATGAGGCACGACCTGGCGCTGGCGGAGGTGGGAGATGGCGCAACTTCCCGCTAATATAATTTGCACGGTTCCATCGTGAAATGACCATAGTCGTACATGAGGCAACTATTCTGTTTCTCATATCGGGACTTGAGAAGTCGCCGGTGGCCGCTTTGCCCCAGGATATGGGGCAAAGTGGCCAATATGCATAGGTTTAAAGTTTTGTCAATATCTCCCATATGTGAGCGCCTTTGGAAATGAAACGCAGTTGAAATAAAAGGCAACTTAATAGGGATCACATTGGTGTAGAAAGAATCTTTCCAAGTTTAAAAATCAAGCGTTGGCATCGTAAGAAGTGTTAGGGTGGCCGCTTTGCCCCACTCTCCCCTACTTAATTTAAAGATCAAGGTCAGGCTTTATGTTAAGCATGCCGCTTCAGCTTCTGTATGGTATAGCCCACGGCCAGCAATATCGGCGGCCTCTGCTCGAAATTTAGCCGAAGAGAGCGTATTGAACTAGTGTACATAGATACTCGATCAGCAGAAGTGCGATAATAAGCACGGGTCAAAGTACTTATTATCGCACTCAAAGCTGTTTTCGCAGTATCGCGCCTAACCGAGGCGAACACGATACTGCCAAAACAGCGGCTCTGCGGCCGTTATTTGCGAAGTTATTCACCAAAAACTGAACCGTACCTTGGGGCACTTGACCTGACCTCAGAGGTCACCGGTTGACCTAGGACCTTAAAATCGGATACCAATCTCTGCGTCTCGTAACGGCGCACACGCTCGTTTTTTCCGCCACGCGCTAGCTCCACCAGGGGCGAAACGGCGAGGGGGGTCGTACCCGCCCCCCCCCCCTCGGCCGGTGCGTATGTAGAAAACCAATAGGTCCGGCGAGGGTTAAGAAGACACAATTTCCACGATTTACCGAGCTACATTTGAAATGGATTATTTTAGCGATTATAAGAATAATTAATTATTAATTATAAGAAATTATTGGCCAGACGCCGAAGATGCCGAAACTCACGTAAGACCTTCAATAAAGCAAAGCCGGTAAGAAAAAACGAACTTTAGGTCACTTTGTTGGTTGTTTTGCAAGACAGTCGTGAAAACTGACGGCTGGCAATTATTGATGTCACGTGCAAAAAAAAAAACTCGAAGACGATACATGTCAAGTCAGAGAGCTGAGCATCTGCTCCCTATATATGGCCTTGGTTTGCCCTAGTGCACGTCACCAAGAAACGTCTTGTTTTAGTTGTGTGCTTTATGGATGATGCTTAATAACTTTTAGTTGACAGTTGACTATCGTAAAAAAATCCATAAACAGTGATAATAAAAAGATCCAAATAATGCTCATTGCTCATAATGACATGTATTTAAAGTATTGAGTCCAAAGTATTAAGTCCAAAGTATTAAACCGCCTTGTTTTGCATTTAAATAAGGGAACGCGTTTTCGCTTCAATATGAAAAATCATTTGGATAAATAAGCTTTATACAATTGTTTTAAGCATTCATGAGTCAATTTTCAAGCTAGAAATCTACACAGTCGAAGCACGGAATCATGCTTTTCAGTGACCGCTCACAGCAGAGTCACCTTTCGCTGGTCTCAGCATCCGACGGAGGCCTGACTCGCATTACGGACGACTCGCAGCTGATTAAGGCCAGCTCCGACGATTTCGCGCCGTTCCAAAGACGCTTCAGAGGCTACGATCCCGTATTGTCCTATCGAGAGAGCGGAGGAGCCAATTTCAAGAGTGCTCCAGGGGAGAGTGAAGAGGCGTGCGATAGGCGGCATGCGAATATTGCCAATTATCAACTGAAAACAGTGACTAGTCGTCCTTCAAAGGCCTTGGTGGGAAAGTGTTTTCCAAATACAGTATGTAAGCCGGAAAATCTTTCGAATGACAGAAAACTATCCCAATCGAAACGCACTGCAAACATAGTCTCTTTTGTCGACGAAATGGATCCTACAAGCAGAAGCGTAAGAAGAGTGTTGTCTTCAGCAGAGCCGAATAAGAATACACAGTCCCGTCAAGTATCCCAAAGTTACAGCGAAGCAAGTCGCCCCAACTCGACGATCAGTTCTCGAAGCTTTAGTACAATGAGTTATTCGTGGTCTGGGCACAGCTCACTGACCTGCACGAGCAGCGGTACGGGGGCGGCGGAGACATCCGGCCGCCAGTGCTGCACCGGCTCCGAGCCGCGGCCGGCCGCCAGCCGAGACAGCGCCCAGACACAGAGAAAGTCGCCCTGCACAGCCTCCGACCGGCCGTCGTCGCCCCAGTCCTCGGTCGATTCCTGTTCGGAGGACCTGAGTAACCTGCGCTCCGGGCGTAAGTCGGCTGCTAGTCGACTAAAAAAGGATAAAGGATGCCTCGCCGGTTTAAATAGCTATTTGTCAAACAGAAAGAAGAAAGCGCAAAAGGAGCACCGAAGAAAGGAGCGGAAGAAGCTGATTAAAATGAAACCGCATAGAGGAGACATTTTCGTCAAAATTAGGAGCTATGTAGGTAATTTTAGGGGAAGCTGCCGTTGTTCTTATACCAATCAGGCGACCATATGCAGCGTAATTACTAATCCCCTCCCCGTTGGGCTATTGGTGAATTCTGCCACCCGTTGGGGAGGGGCCGTTACAACTATCCTACAATCTCGAAAAGTTACCGACCGATTTTCAAAATTCAAACGGCTTTCAATAGCCCCGCGGGTAACTACCATGGGACGGAATTTCATTGACCTAGGTACAACGGATGACGTTACAGGTCAGGTCAGAGGTCGCATTTTTCACTTTGAGTACAGGCCTTTTAATTAAAAACAGGCCTTTTAACCCGCGCCCGGCTGGGGGTCCTGGATTTCCACGCCCTGCTGGGGGGGGGGGGGGTGTTTGAACACATCCCCCTTGTAACTCGGCTCCTGGGCCACGTTGCGATACGCGGAAGGCGGCGTTCGAAAGAGCGTAAAAAATAATGAGGAAATCACTTCGGTCAATTTTTTGGTCAGGTCAAAGGTCAGGTCACCAGAGGTCATTGAAGGCAAAAATTCTCCGATTTCCAGGTCGAATATCGAAAATTTCCAAGAAGCCAACGCATAACTCGGGAACCAATAGAGCTACAGCGCCGCGGAAAAGCGCATTCGATAGCCCTATTAACGCCCTTTCTGAGTAATTCCCTCAGATTTGACCTAACGTCAACGGTTTTGCCTGCAGGGGGCAAAAACTGCAAAAATAACCGATTTTTTCGGAAACAGTTTTTCGGCAATAACTTTTGACCCAAGCCTTGTACGAGCTTACTTTTACCGGCATCGTGTTCCTCTCGTCAAGACGCATCGAATGAACTATAACTTGACCTTAAAAGGTCAACTTGAAAATTTGACCTCAAGTCAAGGTCATGACCTGACCGGAAAGGGTCATGTTGCATATCAGTCGATCCGTATCGTCGAGCTGAACACATCTAAGGCGTTTTCATCGCTCTAGCATGCCTCAATCAAAAGTTATTTGCAAAAAAACTGTTAGATACCATTCGTGACCGAAGATGACCTCAGGGCATAAACAAGGGTCAGGGACACCAGTTTCATGTTCAGTGTGTCTAAACCACTTGTAATTCTGTGTTTGGGAGTGTTTATAATGTCTTTCGTCCAAAAGAGGCGCATTTCAATTTTCTCCCATTGACTTATAATGGGGAGGTCGCAAAATTGACCTGACCTTAGGTCATCGATATCAAAATTCTGAGATATACATTTTATACATGCTGTTGCTCTTAGCAATCGCTGAAAGTTTCAAAGCGATCGGTCACTCGGTGTAGCTATGACAGACATTGAAACTTTTTATGAGGTGAGGTCACTTCAAGTGACCTGGTGACCTGACCTTGAATGACCTTGGTCTGAAATTTTAACAACATGTGTAGAATTGATGTATGATAAGGTGTACCAAAAACGGCCTCCGCGCCGCCGTTTTTGAGATATTCGCGAAAAACCACAAGGGGGGTGTTCAACCCCCCCCCCCCCAGCAGGGCGCGGGTTTATTTAATTTTCGCAAATAACTCGCGTAAAAAGCGCCCGATTGCGACGAAACTCTTACTACCCTCGAGTCATTCCATTTTACACCTACCTTGTAAATTTCATGACCCTGACTCAAATGACCTTTGACCTGTGAACTATTTCTTGAGGCCATGTTTGGCCAGAATCGCGATTCTGCGTATGTCGGCTCGCATTAGCCGCGAGTTTGCAGCCGTTTCAAGCGTTCAAACGTGATATGAGGTTGCCCCCATGCATTAGGGTGGGTGTCAAGGTCGCCTTAAGGTCAGGTCAGGTCATTGACTTTTGATGACCTCGGTTCACTTTTTCGAGTTAACATGTTTCTAGGCTAGTTTTTGGAGCTGAATTCGAATTTAGTAACCTTTGAACATATACGCAGTAGTTTTGGTGCTTGTAAAACATGTTAGGAAGCTGGAGCGTTCCACGACAGATCAACAAAGCCATAACACCATGCCTCTCAGATTTTGATGAAATTGCGTTTAGGGGGTTATCTGTGCCGGAGAATCATAATCGCCGATTTTCAGCGTTGTGCTACTAATGGTTTACGAGTTACAGCCAGAGGCATTTTTCAAAATGCCCTGAGAAACCCTCTTTTTAACTCGTATTATTAACCCTCGCCGGCACAGGGTGATGCAACCCCCCTAAGGTTTTTCGCGAATAACTCGCGTAAAAAGCCGCCGATCGCAACGAAACTTTCAGTACCCTCGCATTAATCGATTTTATACCTTCCCTTAAAACTTCATGATCCTGGCTCAAATGACCTTTGACCTGTGACCTACTTTCCGAGACCATGTTTGGCCGGAATCGCGATTCGGCGTATGTCGGCTCGCATTAGCCGCGCGTTTGCAAGCTTTTCGTGGTTTCAAGCGTTCAGACATGTGATTTGATGTTGCTCCCAATCCCATGCATTAGGATGGATGCCAAGGTCACCTGAAGGTCAGGTCAGGTCATTGTCTTTTGGTGACCTCTGTTCACTTTTGCGAGTTTTAAATGTTTGTAGGCTAGTTTTTGGAGCTGAATTCAAATTTAGCAACCATTTGAACATTTATGAAGTAGTTTTGGTGCCTTCGTAACATGTTACGAAGCTGTCAGAGGCGGTTGACACGTAGGTAATACGAATACTACGAATACCCGACTAGACCCCTACTAATTGAACTGACCTGACCTGACCCGACCTGGTTTAATTACCTAAGGACATCATCTGTGATCAAAACTAACACGATATTCGTGATCAGCACCACGAAAAACCCCATAGCAGCCAGAGCCACACGTTATGCGACTTTCTAACAGTTTCCGATTTTCCCGACTTTTGGGTCGTTGATTTGACCTGGAAGGTCAATCAGAGGCGCGGGAACTACTTTCAGTCTGGGGGGAGGCACATCATAATAGAGATTAACCTAGGATACCCAGATCTAGTTTTCTCATCGGTTTTAGGCCACTCATTTTTCATCCCTTTGCTTTTTCAACAAAAAGAAAACATTTGCAAAAAAGTGCGGTATTCCGTCTCAAAGCAAAAAGTTGCCACGGCCCCAGATTTGTTTGGGCAAGTTGCCCCCACTGTTCCCCCGGTTCCGGGCAAGTTGCACCCGACTCGGGGGCAAGTTGCCCCCGAGTCAATCAATTTTACACCTCCACTAAAATCGTATGACCAGTGACCCAAATGACCTTTACCTGTGACCTATTTCTCGAGACCATGTTTTGCCGCAATCGCGATTCGGCGTATGTCGGCTCGCATTAGCCGCGCGTTTGCAGTCTTTTTGCGGTTTCAAGCGTTCAAACATGTGATATGATGTTGCCCCATGCTCTATGGTGGGTATCAAGGTCAGGTCAGGTCATTGACCTTTGATGACCTCGGCTCGGGTCATTTTTTTCGAGCATTACGTTTTTCTAGGCTAATTTTCAAATGAATGTAAATTCGAAATCAGCACCAAAAGTATCTTGGAAACATGTAGGAGAGACCCGGTAGGTATGGGCCGGTTTTGTGAAAGGGCAATTTTCTTCGTGGGCAGTGGCTAGACCCGGTTTTTCACTATGTGTACGTGAAATTGTCCTTCGCCTGCAACGTGTGCCTGATATTAGGCATCTGGGGTCAACTATTTTGTCTCGAGATAACTTTCAACAAATCATGTGCTTTTTCGATCCATCAAAATACACCGGGAGGTATGGGCCATGGCCCGGGAGGTATGGGCCGGTGCCATGTTTCATATTCTTTTCTCGACAATGAGAATAATACTCGTAGCTCGTATCTACCTTGATCTCTCTTAGAGCCCAGGAACCGCATAAGCGGCCAACAGATTACTTCATGGAGGTCACTTAGGCCCATATGTGTTTTGGTGAACTCAATCATGCACCATAAAATAAGATCAATAATATTTTTATGTTCGAATGAAAACTTGAAGTTAATTTTTCGACCTTGCGCGACAAAAATAAAACTTATTGACGGGAACATTCAATGAAAGCACCTTTCTTATTTATTTAGCATCAACGGGGTGGGTGGCCTGAACCTCCCGGTTAGGACGTCAGAATGTGCGTAGCATCTCAGCTTATAATCTTGCAAGAAAGCTTCAAATTGTCTATCCAGTCATAATTTTCATGCTTTAAACTTTATGTAAGCAATGGTCTGACATCATAAAACGAGCCTGGTCCAAATGTATCACGAATGGTCTGTATGTACCGTATTTTACTCGAAGAAGGGCAAAAAGGCTTAATCACCGCTCATTGCCAAAGAAGACTGAGGAAGATTTTGAAGATCACGTGGGTTGTATAACGGAATGGCTGCTACCAGTTGACGCCGTCAAATGTGTAAAAATACGCAACACTTCTTCAAAACTGCGATGGCCCATACCTCCAGGGGGCCCATACCTCCCGGGTCTCCCCTAAAACTCGAAAACGTGAACCAAGGTCATCAAAGGTCAATGACCTTGACCTTACCTTCACGTGACCTTGACACCCACCATTAGGCCAATTATCCACATAAAAATCGGTAGCCGTTCATGAGCGCCACATAGGTGCAATGTAGATTGTAGAATGTAGATGGACGTAGCTGACATGTTATCGGCTGATTGAAAAATGGACATAAGGCAACAGGTTAGATACGAGTTAACCCCGCCTCAAACACCAAGGTATCCAGCCGGCCGGGCCCGGCTCGCCATCTGTCAGCCATTCCCCCGCGAGTCCGACCGGGGCGAGGCCGCCCGAGGCGTTGTCCCATGACATCGCACGGGCAGTGACGTGATGATGACGGCCGACTTCGTGGTTTGTATCGAAGCGTTTAGGAGTCCGACGCTCAACCATCTACATGCCTGCTTGGTATTGCGCCGGCAATCTCGTCGTAGCTATCGTATGCTGCCTTTTTCGGAATCCAATGGTTAATTGGTTGCAAATTGCGCTGGAACTGTCGCAAGCCTCATCCCTGAATGTGTGATTAACGTTAAACATTTAATATGGCTAGATAAGCAGTGCACTACATCATTGACATTTTGATCATTGACGAAAGTTTTAAATCAACAGTCATTGTTTACGCACAGTGCCGATCAATTTTGCACATCGAGTAACCATTTTGTGAAATGTCGACGCATTATGACAATCTGACAGTGTTTTGCCTATGACGAACATTGTCTCAATGACAAAGAGTTATGCAGAATGGTTGAATGGAGTCCAGCCTGTTTTGCCGACCGTCAAACAGTGATGCACATCGCCGATGGGTTATTCTGAATGACGCTTGTTGAAACTGATGCCGAAATGGTTATGACGATTGGCCATCGAACAACGCAAAAAGGTGTACTACTAAACGCTCGTACTAAGGCTCCTTTTGGAAGCTTGCCGCGCCCTCAGCGCGCCACTTTAGAAACGCTGCTTGTGGGAAAATGATGGCATCCACCACAACTCAGTTATTAATGGTGTGAAGTGCTTTAGCGAGGAACATAGCGAGAATAGATACGTGAAGAATCATTGACCTTTTCCTCGAAAATGTAAAAACAATGCCAAAAGTTATATTGAATGCGGTGAGCTTTCGGCTACAAGCCTTCGTCAAACCAACAAAATGCATTTTGTTGGTTTGACGAAGGCTTGTAGCGGAAAGCTCACCGCATTCAATATAACTTTTGGCATTGTTTTGACATTTTCGAGGAAAAGGTCAATGATTCTTCACAACTCAATTATAATCAGAGGTACAGTTTGGCTCCCACATACTTTGACAAGAGTTTATTCACCCACATGTCCATCAGTGTGCCCTGTCGATGCCCAGACCAGTGTCTGCCCCCCTGAGGCCCGTGTGCGCACTGTTCCCAGGTCCGTAACCTAGTGTGGGGCCTCCCGCTGGGCGACCCGACGGCGGCCAGCCACCTGGGCACCTCGGGCACCTACCGGGCGTTCGGCACCGGCCCGCAGTCCATGGCCGACGCCATGAGCGCCAGCGGCCGCACCACCACCCCGCCCCCGAACGGTCCAGGTCAGTGGGCAAATCTGCCCTCCAACAACGGTCCAGCTCAGTAGCTCCTCCGGTAACCTGCTCTACATATAGATGCAACTGTTTGCACCATGTTTAGGGTGTGTCACTAATCGCAATGCAAGGTGCTCCATCGATTTTATTGTGCTCCACTCATGTGCAAAGGGCGTGGCATTGTTAATTTCCCACAAATGTTAACCCCCAGGCGGCGCCGAGCGAGAGAAGTTTACCCTATCTCACAACATAGGCGACCCTAGCGCCACTAGCGGCTGTTTGCGAAACTAACAGGCCGCTGACTGTATGGGCTTATCCCTGCTCTCTGTAAGCGCGTCTACTGTTGGACGTCAAACCCCTTGAGACCCCACTTTTTTGCGATAATTTTTAAATGCGTCAACTCTCGTGTACAATATTCTGGCAATGTGTGTTTCAGAGCCTGCCGAAACTTTTATTACAAAGGTATTTTGACGCCAAACGATTATGAAAGGTGCTTCTCATTCACTCGTAATGTTAAATTTCACGGAACGAATCTGTTGTTTGGGTAGAGGCTACGCGCTCATGGGGCGGAGCCACGTAATGACGTCAGCGCTAAGCTCCGCCCTACCCCTCCGGCGCTCCTTGCCCGGCGACCGGTCACTCGCGTCTCTCGCTCCATTCAGGCTTGATGGTGGGCGGTAGCTGGTAGCGGTAGCGGGCGCTGGTAGATGACATTAAGAGCAGGTGGCGCTGGTGGCGAGGCTCGAGTGTGGCCGAGCGCAAGCCTCTGCCCGGGCCTGAATTGACCTTGGCATTACGAGTGAATGAGAAGTACCTTTCATAATCGTTTGGCGTCAAAATACCTTAGTAATAAAAGTTTCGGCAGGTTCTGAAACACACATTGGCAGAATCTTGTAAACGAGAGTTGTCGCATTTAAAAATTATCGCAAAAAAGTGGGGTCTCAAGGGGTTTGACGTCCATAGTAGGGACAAATAATAGTATGGGCAGATTGCAGAGATTGCAAGCTAATGACGAATACCTATAATTAATACAATGTATTGTCACAGGGGCCCAGGAACATTTTTCAAGCTGGGGTGCAAGCCCATAATACCTGACATGACGCATATGAAATACACCTTTTTGCAATTGAATTCAACCATTGGCCATGACTGTTTGAGGGGCCATTTCGGCAATCGGCATTGTGCACAGCTATTCCGGCGTTGCGTGTTTTACTAGTGTTTTACGTGTTTTACTAGTAGTTCAGCCATTCGACAAAACAGATTGAACACTGAAATGAACGATCTGCAAAACAGTTTGATACTTCGCCATGACTTCGGCAATGAGCAAAACACCCCGGCATTTGGTGATATCACTTCAGCAATGTTTAAAACAGAATAAATGGATGTATTGGCTAGTTTTTCAAATGGACTTAACATGCATCGTACATTCACCACTTGGGCATGAATATTATGCGCAAAAATGAGGGTATTATGTATACAGTCGTTTTGGCCGGCACCAACATATGTAAATGAAGCATTACGGGAAGTGGCAACCGCACATTAAGCAGCACGACTTAAGCACTTCGCATTTATTCTCCCTGTCTCCCTCCCTCTCTCTCTCTCTCTCTCTCTCCCTCTCTCCCTCTCTCTCTTCCTCTCCCTCCCTCCCTCCCTCCCTCCCTCCCCCCCCCCCCTCTCTCTCTCTCTCTCTCTCTCTCTCTCTCTCTCTCTCTCTCTCTCTCTCTTCCCTTCAGTTGTGGCATAACAAACATGAAATCAACATCTCGTCATGGGCCTCCCGGACCTCTCTGATGAGGACATGGTTACGCCAGTTCATGAGGCCCATCCCATTGCGCGCCGCCATGGCTCTGTCGTCGACAAGGTCTTGAATTAGCGCGATACGCTGTTTGGCACAGGATTTCAGGACAGAAAAACAGTTTTCGATGGGGTTAAGGAATGGTGAGTATGGCGGGAGGAATTTTATGGGATGCCTGGGGGATGCCGCCTGCAAATCCCGATGACACGGAGCGTTATCCATGATAATGGTCGCTCGCTCATCGTGGAGGACCGTGGACAGCGTCATAAGGAACATTCCTGTAATTTTCCACGGCTGTAATTTTCCACAGCCTAGCCGCCCCGCAGCCGTGGCTGCACAGCCACAGCCGCCCACAGCCGTGGCAAACTGTGGGCAGCCAGCCGTCAGCCGGCCGTGGATACTTTCAATGAAATGCAACCAAATAGTATATAATAAGTTGTTTTTAGTTGAAACATATAGCCAAAAGCACATTGCAATGGGCTATAGATTCTCAAGCTCATGAAGCATCATAGATTCAGTGGTTGCGTATCTGGCTTCAGGCCTTCGGCCTGATGCGCAACGCATGCCTACACAAGCCCTTGCAAGGGGTTAAGATGGGTAGGTAGGCACCTACATCAACAGAAAACATAAACAGCGAACCAGAATACAAGCACTAGCAGTGTTAGACATCTAATGCCAAATCCTGAAGCATGGTTGTGGGACAGAACAACAGACCCTGATGCTTTTCATTATCAATGTTATGGAAAATGAGACTGAAGTTGATGGACTGTCAAACCGTGATTGTCTAGTCAAAACCCTTGCTTCTTTCTTACCTTGCATATTTTCTGGGGTGTGATATGCCAGGCTTGAAGCAGCCTTCTGAGCAAGTGTCAAACTAATTTGATATGCAAGGCATCAAAACACTAGTGAGCATCCAAGAAAGAAAAAACATTCATCTATTTTGATTTTTCCAATTTGATTTCCATTTTTCTTCAATCTTTGCTTAAATCACCAAGGCCGTGCGAGCCACAATTGCATCTTTCAATCTAAAATTTTAATTGAGTTTTTAATGACGTCAATAGCAAAGAAGTGGCAGTATTTTTTTTTTTTTAACTACATATATGTACACATTGATAGGAAACAAATCATCGTTAAAGTAAAACGGTCGGACTTACTGTTTGCGTTGCTGGATGATGTCGGGCCGGTTCCTGTTCACGGGAATGTCGTGCACTAGCTTGACCGAAATCAACATGCCAGAGAGTGCTCTTGCGATTGTTGATTCGGTGACCAGAGGCTTGTGAGGCCACGTCCCACGCATGAGTCGGTTCATTTCTCGAAGGGTGATAGTCGGCATTTCTTCCACCAGCAGCATACAGAAATCGCGCATTTCTGAGTCCATCTTACTGGGTCTTCCACCCGCGGGCGGGGGGCCGCTCCAATGGCGCCCGTTGTTTGGTATCGCCTAATTACCGAGTAGGCCGTCCCGCGTCGAATCCCGAGCTGGGTGGCACACGCTAAGTAATCGACGCCGTCACGAAAAGCGTCAACGAGCCGCTGACGATCTTCAACGGATACCCGATGGTACTGACGCCGTGGCATTATCACGATCAGGGCTGATGTAACAATGAGAACGGAACACGGCTGACCTCTCCGAGGTCAACTTCGGGGCGGGAAACCATAGGCAGCGTTAGCGAGACTGCGCACTGAGTTTTTTGTTCAGACAAATAAATACCTACCATACTGCTTGACAACAATGAGTTGATATTGCACATATGACAGAAAGTGCAGTTTACGGGAGCTAATTGAAATGACGCGGTAAATAGCTTGACTTTGCATCCCCACAGGTACGCGTACTGTAACCGCCTATCGACTCTTTCACTATCGATTTAGCTGGATAAGTACTGAGTAGTTTTAATCCATCATGAAGACAACAAAACAAAATATAGCTTACGTTTCATCTAGGAATTGTAAAAATGTTTTGTTTTAATTTAGTTGTAGTGTGCAAGACAATGTAAGTACCTACATAAGCAGCATAGGTAGACCAATACGACATCTGTTGACAGCTTCTTTAACCCGCGCCCTGGTGGGGTCTGTTTATAACGCGACCTGGTGGGGGGGGGGCTATTTTTTGCCCCCCCCCCCCTCGTATCTCCGAAACTACTGGACGGATCCGCAAAATTCAAACGGCGTTCGAAAGGTCTGTCAAATTTGTCGAAGGAAACCAAATTTCATTGACCTCGGGGTCACCGATGACGTCACAGGTCAGGTCAAAGATGAAATGTTTCACCGTTCACGGGTCTTCTAGGGAATGCGCTATAACACCGAGGAAAACGCATTTTGTCGAGAATCAGCTGTAGGGCGTCAGTTGCCTAGTAGATATGTTGCTATTAGAGGTCACTGGCAATACCAGGTCAGGTCACAGGTCTGGTCAACAAGGGTCACAGGTCAGGTCACATGAGCCCAACTTTATTAAGGTTTTGTGATACATGTTTTATGGCCAATTTTTCATTTCCAACTCAATGGTGTTGGTTATAAGACTATCAGGTACGGCTTAGGTCACTTTCTGGTGAAGTTCAGGTCAAGGTCAGATTAACCCTCGCCCTGGCAGGGCATTTTTCATAACACGGCCTGGCAGGGGGGGTCGATGCGACCCCCCCACGCGATTGGCTCCTATGGCACCTAGAAACACCAAATTTGGTAGGTAGGTGGGCCCCCCGGATTTCTCGCCCCTGTGCAAATTTGGTTGCTCTAGGTCAATATTTAGGGGGGTTTTGGGGGGTATAAATGTAAAAATTTCGCTCAAAACAGGTCAAAAGTTTTTCTCTTATAACTTTTGATCTAATTAAGATAGAGCAAAAAGAAAAGCACCAGTGAACTCAGCACGTCAAGGCGCGTCGAATGATATACTTTTTAGCTTGCTTAAGTGTACTTAAAGTTTTTCTTAAATTTTAAGTAAACTTGAAATTATAAATTAAGTTCAAGTTAACCAAATTGCATCATATCGCATACCATTCGATTCGGCTGATCACCAGGAACACAATGCTACCATTTTTTAAGCTCTAGCGTCATTATGTGCCAAGTTATTGGCAAAAACGTCATTTGACCTCAGTTGACCTCATTTGACCTGACCCATGGATAAGTACACCAAACAACGAAGCACCAAGTGACCTGCTGTTAATTACCATGGATTCAAAGCACAAAAGTGATGGAAAGAAGTAGATATCTCCAGTATTTT